TGAAAGCCAAAGACACTCTCGCAAAAGATCTCTGCGAGCGAGATCCCAGTGGAAAGAACCAGGTCTTCAAAGAAGGAGGTACCTTCCTCTGAAGGGAGGAGAGAACCTCCACTTTGACTATGACCTTGTCTAAACAAGATAAGAGTCAGAGAACTCAGAGGGCTTCCATAGCCTTGGAAACTCATGACTGGAGCATAGGGAGATTACTGATGCCATAGACAGGAGTGTCAATTGGTAAAGTCAACAACAGGAGTCACTGTGCACTTACTCCTCATGTAGGATCTCTGTCCTTAATGTGCTGTACATTGAGATTTAATGCTATAACGAGTACTCAAACAATATATTTCACTTTGTGTTTCTATGGGGGTGCAAACTGTTGAAATCCTTACTTAATGCATACTAAACTGATCCTCTGTAAAAAAAAAAAAATTATCAATTCCCAACTTGACTCTCACTGGGATTAAACATGACAATAGGTCTGCTCTGATTTCATCATCATTTAAAAAAATCATCTATTATTTTTCACTTTATGTTTCTGTGTGGGAGCAAACTGTTGAAATCCATACTTAATGTATACTAAGCTGATCTTCTGTATATTAAGATAATCGAAAATGAATCTTGATGTGAATGGAAGGGGAGAGGGAGTGGGAAAGGGGAGGGTTGTGGGTGGGAGGGACGGTATGGGGGGGAAGCCATTGTAATCCATAAGTCGTACTTTGGAAATTTATATGCATTAAATAAAAGTTCAAAAAAAAAATTGGCTTCCAATCAAATAAAACGACTCTAAAATTAATTTTAATCCAGAGCATTCACAGACCACACAAGGAGTAGTAATTCAGGTCATAAACTCATTTGAAGGCTGCCTTCTGGCTATGAATTTTAAAGGAGAATTTCTATTATGCTTTTGACAGCAGTGAAACCTAAACTTGTGGTTGTCCTTACTCTACTTCTGGAAAGTTCGTTCATTTCTAATACTGAATGCACTGTCCTTATGAGGAGGTCTCCAGTTAGAGTCCTTCTCACTCCCCAGCTATCAGTGTAGAAACTTGAGATTTCTTGAATTCAACTGAAACCCCTAGGGCAAAAGCAACCTTTGGTATTTAATTATCTTACCAGGTATTTTCATTACAAGTTTGGATTCTGAAGATTTTCTGTCTCCTAACTCAGTAATGCTTTTTAAGGAAAATATTCTTTAAGATATTTTATCCAGGGCCAGTGTTGTGGCATCAAACATGAGGCCACTGCCTTCAACATCAACATCCTATATTGGTGCTGATTGATCCCAGCTACTCCACTTCTGATACAGCTTCCTGCTAACAGCCTGGGAAAAGCAGTGAAGGTAACTCATGTGGTAGGCCCGGGGAAGCTCCTGGCTTTGGCCTGCCCTAGCCCTGGCCATTGAAACCATCTTGGGTGGATGCAACCAGTGGATGGAAGGTAACTCTCTCTCCTTCTCTGTCTCTGTATAACTGACTTTCAAATAAATAAATAAATAAATCTTTTTAAGAATGTTTTATCCAGCCTTTTTCCCCCTTGGCAAGTTTAATCATTAAATGTATTTATTCTGTCATATGAGAGGACTTAAAATCAACATTCAGCGTCTTCACTACTTGATTTAATAATATACATCTAGCCTCAACTCATGTTTCCATCTCTCTACCCATAATGCTCCCTCCCGGGAATGCTTCCTTGCAAGGTGCTGGATCTCTGATGTACACTTGGGAAAACAATGGATATCCACCCTTATCTATCACTATAAAAATTAAATGAAGACAGATTTTTACATGTAGGCTTATAAACTCTTCTGACAAACAGAATTAAGAAGACAACGAGGCCTTTTATACACACACACACACACACACATACACACACACACTTTGGGACAAAGACTTTAGGATACATAAAACATAAATAAAAAAGTCAGTATACTCAACACTTAAAACTCTTGCTCACGAAAACACACTAATAAATGTTCACAACCTCTTGACCCATCTGGATCTCCCCTGTAAATGAACTGATTTCCTTGGGTAGTTGGTGGCAACCAGTTAGTCACATTTCTCACTGGTGCTGTGCTAATCTCCCTTAAATCCTAAGAACAGGGCATTTGCCCACCCTCTTGAAACATTCTCCTGTAACAGCATGGGGCCAAGACCTGTGTCACTTGTTCTATGGAACCAAGTTGCCATCAGGGGTGACAGACAAGAGTTGGCAGGAACATTCTGAGCTTCACATTAGACACTGCCATACAACCCAGCCTTCAGTAGTCATAGAGAACTTCGATCTACCTTATCACTTGGGTTAATTTCTGATTTGGTAGATTATTAAAGAGGGGCTGAAGAATGTGCTTGGACTCCTTTAAAATATCTGTACAGTAGGTTCCTTGGGGCCGGTGCTGTGGCTCACTTGGTTAATCCTCCGCCTGTAGTGCCAACATCCCATATGGGCGAAGGGTTCTAGTCCCGGTTGCTCCTCTTCCAGTCCAGCTCTCTGCTGTGGCCCGAGAAGGCAGTGGAGGATGGCCCAAGTGCTTGGGCCCCGCACCCACATGGGAGACCAGGAGGAAGCACCTGGCTCCTGGCTTCGGATTGGCGTAGCTCCAGCCATGGCAGCCATTTGGGGGGTGAACCAACGGAAGGAAGACCTTTCTCTCTCTGTCTCTCTCTCTCTCACTGTCTAACTCTGTCAAATAAAAAATAAATAAAATATCTGTATAGTAGTTTCCTACACAGCAACTGAAAAGCAACAAACATCACATATACCGTAAAATAAACTTCAAAAATGTAGCTTTGAGAAGCAAAGGCTTACAGAATCCTATGGTATGCTACTGCAAACACAAGTCTTAAAGAATGAAACAATGTGGGGCCAGTGCTGTGGCACAGCAGGTAAAGCCACCATCTGTAGTGCTGGCATCCCATATGGGTCCTGGCTGCTCCACTTCCAATCCAGCTCTCTGCTATGGCCTGAGAAGGCAATAGAAGATGGTCCAAGTCCCTGGGCTCCTGTACCCACGTGGAAGACCCAGGAGAAGCTCCTGGCTTCCGATGGGCCCAGCTCCGGCACTTGTGGCCATCTGGGGAGTGAAGCAGCAGATGAAGACTTCTCTATCTCTCTCTGCCTCTGACTCTTTCTCTACCTTTCAAATAAATAAATAAATCTTTTAAAAATGAAATAATGCTATAGATTATTTTTAGCACATAATCAGTCATGGTACTGAAACCATACATGGAAATGAAAAAAAGTAAATTCACGTTAGCTGCTACTTCTGGGGAAAGAGAAGGGCTTCTGAAGAGAACTTTCAGTTCCATCAGAAAGTATTTCTTTCAGTTCCAAGACATCAAGATTTCACAAGAATGCTGCACTCTCTCTTGTACTCTACATGTGTGTGTGTGTCCATTATATGATTATACATCCTTGTATGTTGGAAATATTTCAGAGTAATAAATGAGTAAAAGCAAAATTTGAATAGGGTCATTTAATTCCCCTGATGAAAACTGTGCAGCATCTTTGGCTATGGTTTAGAGGCCTCTAAGACTTCATGTGTTGAAACAGAATCCTCACTATGAGGGATTCAGAGGGTGATGGTGATGTTTAGAAGAGGGAGGAGCCTGTA